AGCAGCGGGGCCGGAGCGCGGGCGCGGAGCGGGGCCGCCATGCGGGGGGCGGCCGGGAGCGCTCTGCCGCCGGTGCTGCTGTTGCTGCTGGCGGCGGCGGCGGGGCCGGTGGGCGGCGAAGAAGCGATCCAGTGCCCGCCGTGCTCGGAGGAGCGGCTGGCCCGCTGCAAGGCTCCGCAGGGCTGCGCGGAGCTGGTGCGGGAACCGGGCTGCGGCTGCTGCGCGACCTGCGCCCTCAGCCGCGGAACCGCTTGCGGGGTTTACACCGCCCGTTGCGGGGCCGGGCTCCGCTGTTACCCCCCCCGCGGGGTACCCCGGCCCCTGCACACCCTCATGCACGGCCAGGGCATCTGCACCGACCTGGCCGACGTCGAGGCCATCCAGGAGAGCCTCCAGCCCCCAGGTAAGGCCGGTCCCGGGGGTGAGGGGGTGGGTGCCAGCTTCCCAGCGGTGGCCCCCGAGCAGCCCCCTCTTTGTGCCAACCTGCTGGCCCCTCGCTTGGCAAGAGTTGGGGGCTGTGGGGTGGGGGGCTCTGCCGGGACCCTGCAGTGGGACGGGGATGGGGTGATGGGGTTTGTCCTCAGCCGGGTACCAGCGGGTCATGTTTGTGCCATCCTTACCCACCGCTGCCGGTGGCTCCGTGCCTGTCGGAGCGGGGTGCTTCCCAGGGACTTGTCACCCACCGTGCCCTGGCTGCAGAGTGCCCCTGGATGGCAGAGCAGCCGGGGTCCCACGGGCACCCACGGCTCTGGGATCAGGTCCCAGCTGCCAGGGGAGCTCCCGTTGCGTGGTGACCCCCGTGGTCCCCCTTCCCTGGGGATGCTGCCGGCAGCTCTGCCTGCGCTGCCAGGAGGAAACAGGAAAGAGGCCTCGGGGCACCTGCTTCCCTCGCTGGCAGGTCGGGCTGGGCTCTGTGCCGGGGCTCTGTGTCCTTCCCCAGCCAGGCAGGACGGGGAGGTGTGGGCAGCAGGCAGGGCCAGGCTGGAGAGACCCACTGCCTGCGGGCTCTGCCCCCACCTGTCTGCCCCAGGACCTTCTCGCAGGAGTTGATGGTGGCCCCCCTGCCACCCCCGTGGTGCTCGGGCAGGGTCTGGGTGCCAGGAGCAGAGCTGGGGGTGGGAGCCCAGCCCCAGAGCTGTGCAGGTCGTGCTGTGGCTTTGACAGTAGGAACAGAGCCAGCCCTTGGGGCTGAGCGTGGAGAACTGGCCCGTGGGGCTGGCCCATCGGTGGGTCTGGATGCCACATTCCCCCCTTCCCTGTCTATGGGCTGTGATGGGGACCACATCCCCTGGAGCTGGGGAGCAGCATCCTGCCATGGGACCCGTCCCCAAGCTGGCTGGGTCCTGTGTCCCCACATGGGGTCACCCCACGTTCCCCGAGGGGCAGAAGGGGCTGGAGCAGTGTCCACCCCTGTGTGCCTGAGGGCCAGATCCCAGCTCCGTTCCCTCCTCCCATGGCTGGTCCATGACAGCTCTGCCGGTGTCCCAATGGTGGGGAGGGATGGACAGGAGGGGACAGGAGTTGGCTGCGAGTGCTCAGCACGGGGTCCACGGTGGAGACCCCCTGCCCTGCCTGTCCCCATCCCACATCCTGCAGGAGCTGTCTGGGCTCCCTGGCCCGGGGCTGCGTGGCGCTGCCAAGGCCTGTTGGTTTTGGCTGTGCCCCGTGTAACGCAGCATTTTTTCCCAGAGCCTTTAGGAAACAGACTTGCAGTTTTTTCCCCTTCCTCCCCGCCGTGTTTTGGCCTGGCTGGGGACGGGTGGGTGGCCGTGGGAGCCGGGCACCGCGCCTGCCCGCAGCCTCGCAGGTGGCAGAATATGGGTTGGGACGGGCAGTGATGAGCCCCTTCGCCCGGGACAGCCCGGCAGGACGAGGACAGGACACCCCGCAGGACATTCCCGGTGGGATGTCTGAGCCAGGGGTCCCTGGTCCCGCTCCAGCCAGCGTGGGGCTGGGGGCTGCAGGCTCCATCGCTCCCACCGCAGCCCTGCCTGGCACAGCGAGGGCACCCTGGCACGGCTGGTGCACCCAACGGGTCCCCTCTGGGTGAGCAGAAGGGACTTAAATGCTGATTTAGAGGCAGGGGTGTCTGGAGCAGGTGCCCCCCGGCTGTGCCCGTGTCCCCCGGCGCTGAGCGGGTGCCGGGCGAGCGGAGGCTGCGGCGGGCGCGCGGCTGGGAAGCGGTTAACGCGCAGCTCGTACAGTAAACACTTTGTCTGGGGGCTCGGCCCGGGGGGCTCCGCATTCCAGGGAAGAGGCTGGGATCTGAGGGGGCTGGGCTGAGGCTGGGCTTTCCGAGGGGCTGGGCGATGGCTCCCTGCTCCAGCGCCAGGAAAGAGCCTCTCCGCTTGCCTGGGATTTGGGGAACCCACGGGATGGGGCTTTCTAGGGAGCAAGGTGGCTGCTCTCTTGACCTGAGACCCTCTCTGTGGCTGAGGGTCTGGGGATCTTGTGCAGGACCCTGGTCCCTGTGTCCTGCTCCCAGCCCTGCCGGCTCCCGGGGCATCCTGTGATGGGACTGGACCCGGGAGGTTCCAGCCGTGGCTTTTGGGCACAGCCTGCGGGTGCCAGGGGGAGGTGATGGCTGAACCCATGTGTGGCAGCCGGGAAGAGGTGAGGACATTTTTCCTCAGCACGCGACGAGTGATTTAGTGCTGGGTAAATAATTATGTCTGGGCGCATCCCGTGTGGTTGCTGTAAGCAGTGGCGGGGAGGGATCCTGTTCCCTTCCCGTGTTCGGTGGCCAGGAGGGCCAGCAGTGGCCAGTCCCTGGTTGGAGACGGTGCACGGGCTGTGAGGACAGGCTGGGTGCAGCTCCTGGCGATGTCCACCCCACATGTCCCTCACTGCCCCCTTCCACCCACTCAGGGGGCCAGGCAAGGCTGTTGCCCTGTCCCAGCTGTCCCTCGGGATGGGGTCTGGCCTTCACCCACAGCTGGGTTTCTCCGGGTTGGGCACTGCTCCCGGCGAGGCTCTGGTCCCTACGGGGGACAATCTGCCTCTGCATCCCTCACACCCCATCCTGCATCCTGATCTCCTCTCCATCGGGCTCACATTGGGCGCTGAGCTGGGAGGTGCAGATGTGCTTGGCCGTGTTGGAGCATGGCAGGGCTCAGCAGCGTGTCCCCATGGGATGGGGCTGGCCCAGCCTTCCTGGCCAGCATCCCTGGCCAAGGGACAGTAGGTGCCTGGTGCCTGCACCCCCGCCACCCCCATGACCTGGCCCTCCGTGCTCCGCCGGGGCCAGCGCTCAGCAGGACGAGCACAGACTTCCCTGCTCCAGTCAAGAGCCCTGGTGGCCAAGAGAGACCACGGTGCTGCCAGGACCACCCGCAGGCAGCACCCGGGGTGCCAGACGAGGAAAGCAGAGGGTGCTGGGACTCACCACGGCTCATGTGCCGTGTCGGCCGCAGACACGTGGTTGTGTCCCCTCTGGCTTATGGGGCACGTGGGGTCCTTTGCCCCTGGGCTGGTGGGGCACTGGGGAGCGGGGCTGGGGCTGTGGGGGTCCCTGACAGTTGTCCCTCTCCTACGGACACATTTGTGGTCCCGAGGCTTCGCTCGCTGCCCTGGTCTCTCCTCCCACGGGATCCGCGCGGTGGAGCCCGGAGCCCTTCGTTGTTCCCTTCGGGCTCAGCGCGGTGAATCACAAGTTCAGCACGTGACCAACCTCATTTGCAGCTCCCGTTAATTGAAGGCGATGCTGAATGACTCGTTTGTGTCTCCTGCCCATGGGCTGAGCAGGAGGAATCCTCCTGCCTCTGGGATGGGGCAGCCGGGCTGCGCAGCCAGCGAGGGCAGCACCCGTCCCCATCCCCTTGGCACCCACTTCCATCCCAAACCAGGGAGAAGGGCTTCTTCCAGCCCTTGGCCAAGTGGGAACCCCCCTCTCCTCTGTCTTGTCACCTGGAGGCCTCTCTCTGCCCACACAGCCCCAGGTAGCACCAGGGGGATGGTGGCCAGTCCATGGGATGCTCTGGGTGGCCACAATGGAGCAGGACCCGGTGGAGAGGTGTGGGAAGGCTCAGGGACACCCCACTGGCAGGCTGGCATCCAGATGGTGCTTCCCAAGGGATGCTCCAGGAGCAATGTGGGGGGCTGGTGGTTTGGGGGCCTCCAGGCACCACAGAAGTTGCTTTTTCCACATCTTTGTGTGTGAGTGTGAGGAGTTTCCTCATCCGGCTGGTGCAGGGGGATGGCTGAGGGGTTGCTTGGTGGGTGGAAAAATCACCCCGAGGACTGCAGTGACCCCCACAGTGGGGAGGGATCCTGGGGCTGGTGTGTGAGTCGGGGGGGCAGCTCAGGGCCCCTGTGTTGGGGGGAGTGGGGGTCCCAGAGCTCTGTCCCCCGAGCCCGGGCAAGAGCCTCCTCGCTGCCCAGAGGCACCGCCGTTTCATGTGACCTTATGAAAATGTTCCTGGCATCTGGTTTTATTTAAGCCGAGAGAGATTCGATGCTCTGAAGGGGGGTGGCGGGGGGAGGAGGGGTGTTTGTCCCTGCTGGGGGTGGGTGAGGGCTTCCCCTGGGCAGAGCGGGCAGCGGTTGGTGCCTCCTGGTTGTGTCTTCCATGGAGATGCCGGGACTTCGGCATGTGGTCCCTGCCGGTGCCAGACCTCCCGCCTGGCTCTTCCTCACATCTCTCCCCAAAAAGGTTCAGGGGGGAGGCCGGGGAGGGAGGGAGCACTGCTGCCCGAGCCCCCCCTGAGCCCCCCAGCTGGGCTCTGCTGCCGGTACCCGTGTTGCGCCACGGCCCCGTGGTTGGTGCCACCGGGGCTGGTGCGCGCCGGGGCTGGCATCGCTCTGCACGGGGTCCTGGAGACTTTGGGTTTGTGTTTCAAATTTCAAGGGCATGAGCCATTTCCTGGAAAAAACTGACAGATTAAACAAAAAGCAAATAACAGGAATGAAGGAGAAGGATTTGATCGGGGCTTTGCTGTGAACTTTAGCCAGGCTGCTGGGAGCTGGTCCAGGAACCCTTCACTGCAGGGCAGCCGCCGGGTGAGGTGATGGGAGAGCAGGGCTGGGATCCCACGGGGATGTGGTGGGCAGGAGGCTGTGGCTCTGACCCTCCTGCCAGCTCCTGCCAGCTCCTGCCTGCCTGTGGGAAGGGTCAGTGCCTGGCATCACCCCAGCATCCTCCATCCCTGAGGCTGTGAGCCCCTGGGTGCTTCCACCCGTGCTGCACCGTGACCACCCCCCCGCCTGCTTTGGGAAGGTTTTTCCCATTCCTGGCTGCAATATTGACTAGTATGAGCCCAGCCACGGGATAAGCTCGGGCAGGGAGCCCTGGCTGCTTTCCTTACAGCCCAGGCGGGCTGCGACTCAAAGCGCTGCTTGGGCTGTGCCTGACGTGGCTCCGAGCGCAGGTGGGACCCCGGCTCCTCGGGGCGTCCCCCTTCCCCAGAGCGTTAATGGGCCCCAAACGGAGGGACCGGCAGCTTTTTAAAAAATCAGGATGAGAGCTCGGGTCTCATGACGCCCCGTCCAGCTGCCAACATCTGGGATTGCAGTTTGGCTGCTCTCCTGGTGCAGGCGAGGATGCCAAGCGCCGCCTTTCGGGATTGGCCCCGCGGGAGATTAGCTTTCTTATTCCTGGAATTTCTTCTTTCATGTCTTTGCGGGGGCTGTGCCCCGTGGCAGAGCACGGCTCCGCTCCTGGCCGCGGTTCCCGGTGCCGTCCCGGGCCTGGTGGGTGCTCAGCACCACCCTGGTGCAGCTCCAGACCCCCCGTTCCTGCTGCAGCTCCTCAGAGGCAGCTTTTGGGGGGCACTGGGGTCTTGCTGGGGCTCCCTGGCTGTGGGCAAGCACCCGGTGGCACGTGGCTGGCCAGGGCACAGCCTGACTCTCGTGCCACGCAGCACACTGGACCAACTGCCCGGTGCTCTCGCAGCGTGCGTTTGCCACCCTACAATAACAGACACGTGGCAACAAGCCCGTGAATTGTGGCTAATGAGTCGTAAAAACTCCCAGGAGCCTTTCCCAGTGCTGCAGGGAGGAGGTGGCAGGGGCAGGAGGGGACTCAGGACTGGGGGTGACACCCGTGGGGACTGGGGAGGGTGACGTGGGGTCCGGCAGCACCAGCTGCACGTTGTGCCTGGGGGTGCAGGCTGCTCTGTGGAGGAACAGGGGTGTCTCCATCCCTGGGGGCTGCCCCGTGGTGCTGAGCCCCCTCTGGTCTGTGTCCTTGCAGAGAAGGAGGAGATCGACCACCCCAACAACAGCTTCAACCCCTGCAGCATCCACGACCGCAAGTGCCTGCAGAAGCAGCAGGCGAAGCGGGTCAACAACGGCAACAAGATGCGCAACAGCGGGAACCCGTACCCCCGCGAGGAGACACGGCCCATAGTGAGCACCGCGGGGCTGGGGAGGGGGTCAGGATGGGTGGTGGGGGTCCCAGGATGCTGGGGTGGGGGCACTTGCCAGCCCCGCTGCCAGCTCAGCATCAACCCCCATTCCTGCAGGCGCAGGGCTCGTGCCAGAGCGAGCTGCACCGGGCGCTGGAGAGGCTGGCGGCCTCACAGACCCGCACGCACGAGGACCTGTACGTCATCCCCATCCCCAACTGCGACCGCAACGGCAACTTCCACCCCAAGCAGGTAGGACATGGAACCTGGAACAGGTTGCCCAGGGAAGCTGTGGCTGCCCCATCCCTGGAGGGGTTCAAGGCCAAGGTTGGATGGGGCTTGGAGCAACCTGGGCTGGTGGGAGGTGTCCCTGCCCAGGGCAGGGGGTTGGAACTCGATGATCTTTGAGGTCTCTTCCAACCCAACCCATTCTATGACATGGCTCTCACCCATCACGGGGCATCCGGGGGGGGGCACTGGGAGGAGGACACGGATGGATGGGCCAGTGCTGGGGCACGGCAGAGCCCACCTGTGGCTCCTTTGGTGGGAATCACCCCTCAGGAATCCCCCTTTGGAAAACGCCTGGGGTGGGGTGAGGGTGGCAAAGCCCCGATGAGAGCTCCTGGTTGCAATCACCAGGCAGCCCATGGGAATGGGGCCGTGGGGGCCAGGCTGGGCACCCCTCACCGAACCTGTCCCTGCAGTGTAACCTGGCGCTGGATGGGCAGTGGGGCAAGTGGAGGGGGCTTGGAGCAACCTGGGCTGGTGGGAGGTGTCCCTGCCCAGGGCAGGGGGTTGGAACTCGATGATCTTTGAGGTCTCTTCCAACCCAACCCATTCTATGACGTGGCTCTCACCCATCACGGGGCATCCGGGGGGGGGCACTGGGAGGAGGACACGGATGGATGGGCCAGTGCTGGGGCACGGCAGAGCCCACCTGTGGCTCCTTTGGTGGGAATCACCCCTCAGGAATCCCCCTTTGGAAAACGCCTGGGGTGGGGTGAGGGTGGCAAAGCCCCGATGAGAGCTCCTGGTTGCAATCACCAGGCAGCCCATGGGAATGGGGCCGTGGGGGCCAGGCTGGGTGACCCTCACCAAACCTGTCCCCTCAGTGTCACCCGGCGCTGGACGGGCAGCGGGGCAAGTGCTGGTGCGTGGACCGCAAGACGGGGGTGAAGCTGCCGGGTTTCCTGGAGCTGAAGGGGGACTTGGACTGTCACCAGCTGGCGGACAGCATGTGAGCACCACCGCGGCGGCCCCGCGCCGTGCCGCGGCCAGGACAGCCCCCGGGGCTGCGTAGGTGAGGAAGAGAGGGGGACACGACTGCCGAGCAGCTCCCCGGTGCCGGGGGACCCCGCATCGCCACCACGCTCTGCGCCACGGGCTGCCCACGGCACGGGGCACGGCGCCGCCACCTGTGCCATGACCACTAGCCACCGCCGCTGAGGGGTCCCCGGCGTAAGCACAGACACTTGTGTGGACAGA